CGGGGGCCGCTCGGTTTTGTTTCCTTTTCCGAGTGAGTTTCGCGGCAGGATTGGGAGCGGGGGGTAGGGCTTTAGTAGCAAAAGCACGTGGAGTTCTCTGGGAGCGCAAGGGTTTTGCCCCGTAGTAGTTTTAGCCCCCGGCCACTCACTCTGAACAATGGCGCCCTCTTAACGCTCATTTTCTTGCCCACGTGGGTCCTGTTCCGCCCTCCGTGTCCCGAAGTAGTTTCTGAAGTCTCGTTGCGCCGCCCGCGTTCAACTTTTAACGCGCTTTTTTTTCTCCCCTCCTCGTACGTTTTAGCCCCAGAAGACGCCGTCGCAGCCGATCTAGAAGCAGGAGCCGCTCTAGATCCCGCAGTCGGTCCCGTTACAGTCGATCCAAATCCCGGTCTCGCACACGCTCTCGGTCTCGCTCCACCTCGAAGTCCAGGTCTGCCAGGAGATCCAAGTCAAAGTCCTCGTCTGTCTCCAGATCTCGGTCCAGGTCAAGATCTCGGTCCAGATCTAGAAGCCCTCCCCCTGCCTCAAAGAGGGAATCCAACTCTAGATCCAGGTCTAAGAGCCCTCCCAAGTCGCCGGAAGAAGAAGGAGCTGTATCCTCCTAGGAACATGGTAATGTACCTCGGGATCAGCACATGTTGCATGTTACTTTATTGTAGCACTTAAGTGGGGTGTTGGGTAGTTCTTAGCATATCAATAGCCGGAACCAAGCGAATCCTAACGGGGCACGTTGTTAGTTGTTCTGTTTTGGTTTTTGTTTTTTTTTTTTTCTTGAGAAATGCTTTTTGGTTATTGTTTCAGGTTAATTTAATACCAAAGGGCTTTCTACAGAGATTTTTTTTTTTTTTTTTACAGAGAAAATGTTTTATTGAGAGATTAATGGCTTGGTTTTAATAAAATATTGTATGAGACGCAACCTATGATGAAAATGACTATTTCTTACTGTATTTATCCAACATCTGCATTTTCCCCTTTAAAGCTGCGGTCTCCTGTTTGCTAAAAGAATATTGGCCAGTATTGCAGATTTTAACTGATTTGGCTGATCCTCCAGGGACCAGTTTCTGTGGGCGTGTATTGGAGCAGGTTTGTCTTTAAATGTTAAAGATACACTATCCTTTTATAACGGAAGATCGGTTCAGTGGCCGTTATACTGACTGGAGGTAACTGTACTAGAAAAGTGGCAAATTCCTTGCAACGAGAAAACCATGGAAACTAGTTTTTCCTCAAGTCGACATCTTGGAAGAGGCATCTAAGGATACACCGGGTGGGGAAAGGATAGTGTGTCTTTAACCCTTCAAACTGTTTGGTCCTATTTTTAAAAGGAAAGGGCCTAAGCTAGCTCTGAAGTTAGATAATTGTAGCAAAATTAGTCACACTTTGTTTTGAATGCTAATTAGAGCTTAGTTAATTCTTTATGAAGAAGTATTAGTTTAATAACTTTTATATAACTTTTAATAATTTATTGAACAGGCTGAATTGAAGTTAATGGTGGCTTGATCTACAGCCTGATGCTTATTCTTCTTTGTAACTAAATACTTTGACACAACCTTACATTTGGCCTCTGAAGTAAAGCAACACATGGGGGGAGGTGGAACACTGTGGAAATTCCTAAAACTTAATTAAATTAGGCAAAGCCAGTTGAAACACAACTAGAAGTATACCTGAAGTCATCCACACAACCAAAAGAGACAAGGTAGAAACCTGGCTGAACTTTTCTTTCTTCAAACCTAGATGCATCAGATAAATGAGAATCTACATAAAGGACGCCTTTGGGGGGAAAAGATCGCTTGAGTCTTCAGTCCATTGGAGAGACCCCTGGCACGAGCAACCAGCTGTTGAAAAGGTTATTTTGTAACATTTTGTCTAACTTTTTACTTGTTTAAGTTGCGCCTCAAGTGGCAGATTTTACATTTTATGTGCCATTTTGTTGCTGTTATTCAAATTTCTTGTAATTTAGTGAAGTGAACGACTACCGATTTCATTATTGGCTTGGATATTTGAGGTAAAACTTCATTTTTGTTTATATAGTGCTGACTTTTATTTGAAATTAAAACTGATGGTAACTTGCTGCCTCCAGTTTCATACTGAGGAAACAAGCAGCTATTATATGCTGAGTAGCTAACTCTGTTGAAAAGTATTCTCAATTTTGTCTTCATTCCTTAAATAAAATTCTGCAAAACTTCAATTTGAAACTTAATGTAAATGCTTTTTTTTTTTTTTACTTTGAATTCAGAGAGTATCTTCAAATTCAAATTGGTAGAAATCTTTTCAGGTGACAGTTGATATTTGAAAGGATTGTTTTATCAGACTCAATTCTAATCTCTTCTCTTATGTATTTTTGTGCACTAGGCGCAGTTGTGTAGCAGTTGAGTAATGCTGGTTAGCTGTTAAGGTGGCGTGTTGCAGTGCAGAGTGCTTGGCTGTTTCCTGTTTTCTCCTGATTGCTCCTGTGTAACGATGCCTTGTCGTGCAGAAACAAATGGCTGTCCAGTTAATTAAAATGCCTGACAACTGCACTTCCAGTCACCCGGGCCTTGCGTAAAAATAATGGAGCATACAGTGAGCACATCTAGCTGATGATATACACACCTTATTTTTTCCAGAATGGTAAAACTTACCAACCTACATATATGAACTTACATATGAAAAATGTAATGTTAAGACAAGAAATGGTTCATTCCTTTGTAAGTACTGATTGGTGTATCTTTTGCTTAAGACATTCTGTACTATACCCACTGTCTCTGTAGTTAATATTAAACATTTTTCTGTGTTAACTTTTCTCAACTTAATGTCTGAGTCAGCTTATTTTTAGCTTGAAAAGATTTCTGCAATTATACTGTCAATGTTTAACTTCTATATAGTAACTGAATGCATTCTACTGCTTACAAATTTTATCCACTGGGGTTGCTTTTAAATTACTATGGGCAAATTTAACTAGTGTTATGACTAACCCAAATGTTGTATGGCAAGTATTGCACACCAGATTATAAACACAGAATCAGACATTGTTACGGAAGATCGGCACTGAGCAGTACTAATTGCATTTGCTGTGTGCTTGCCCTGGCTCAACAGGCTGCTGCTTGATGGTAGCTAATCTTACAGTGATGATTTTTTTTTTTTTCTTGATTTGGATACCAAATGAATTGTAACTTCAACCATCACGTGTCAAGGGTTATTGTAATGCCTTGTTAACTTTATGCATGTATGTTAAATGGGAATGGAAACATCTGAATACTTGCAATCTGGCTTGATTGAAGATTAAAAGTACTTTTCTACAAATTTGAGGAGTTTGTATGTTCCAGGACTGCATGGCTAGCCGCAGTCTACACAGATACATTTAAAAACAAAGGGGCTGGCTTTTATATATGAATCTTGGAAAAAAAAAAGAGTCTCTGGTCCTGGGAAACAGACCTTATGGGGATATTTTTTTATTTTGAAAGAGCGCAGTTAACTTCTCTTCATTGCTGAAGTTGTGAATTTAAGTTGGATCTTGTGGATTGTTGGGTTGTTAAGCTCTGTTGTGTAGTGGCTTACATAATGGAATTGAGTCTTTGAACTATTACGTGATCTTTGGGGAGGAGCACAAATTTCTCAAAAGCCATAGCTAAAAAAATCGAACAGCTTTATTTTTACAATGCATGTTTTAAGAATGACTGCAGAAGGGATCTGCTTCCCAACAACATATGCATGAGGTTTGCTGTAAACGGGACTGTTTTCTGCAGATCCATGCTACAGTGAACAGTTAAGTGTCATCTTGTATTGGAACCAACAAGTGGAATAAACTTAAGTACCATCTGATTGTGCTAGTGAGATGATCATCATTTCAATTGTATGTCTTCCTGGTAGAGAAGAGCTGGCCAAGTGCTCTTTGTCTGCACTGAAGGAATGCAAGGGAACCAGGCCGCTCTTCAGCTTCCACTTGCAGAGCAAAGCTTCGATAGACCAGTCAGCACTGAGGGGAGGAAACACCACTGGGTGAAAACATAATCCCAGTTTGTAACTTCCGCAGGAATTACAGGAGACTGTCACCAAATTTAAATACAGCAGTTCACAAAACCGAGTTTGTAACAGTTTTCTAGTTAACAGTAAATTTGTGTTTCTTGGATTATTTGCTGGTTTGTCTGCTACCCCTAGGATTTACGTGGCTAATACCAGCCTGATTCATAATCTGTGAGGAGCTTCTCTGGAATCAGTGCAGTGGTACCTCTGGGAAGTCAACGCTCTTTAATAAGAGCTAAGACAGGGAGACAGAAATTAAGATTTGAGTCTTAAATGTGCTAAAGAATTTACCTTCGGACTTGATAAGTAGTCCAGAATTGAGCCTGTGGATTCTTTTCCAGCAAGAAGTAAATCGTAGTTAAAATATCTTCAAAGTCTGTGTAGTTAGGGGAGATTAAGCAGTTTTGGTTAGTCTCTGGATTCTAGGAACAGTTAAATATGCCTGGTTTTATGAAATGGTAATTAAAAATCAATACAAGACTAACTACATCTGTATGGGAGGCTGGAGAAGTATGGCCTTAAGCAGTTAATTACTCTGTTTTCACTCACCCTGCAGTGGTATTTGATTGCTTAATACTAGAATTGCCCCAAGAATGACAAGTTCAGTAGCACAGTGTCACCACAGAGGCTGTCACTCGATCCCTTGACTGTGTTCCCAGCACTCCTTGGACACGGAGTCCTCGCAGCTTGTCACAAATCAGAGATACCTGAGAACATTCACATACCTTTTGGGTCAAAAAAGACATCTGATCCTAAAATAATATCTACAGGAGCAAGAGAGAGCAGCTCTGGAGACACTCGCCCCCAGGTGAGCCCTATCACCGGCACCTGGGG